TTTTTTATTAAGGTATTATTTATATACACTCTTATGAAGGTTTCACATGAAAAAACAATATGGTTATTACACTCACCCATGTTATCATGTCCCCCCATACCTCATTGCAGTCACTGCCCAACAGTATAGTAAGATGCCACAGAGCCAATCATAATACCCCTCAATCCCCTTCTCCCTCCTCACCACCCACCCTCCCCCACCACTCCCCCTTGGCTACTGCTAGTCCCTTCTTGGAGTCTGTGAGTCTGTTGCTGTTTTGTTCCTTGAGTTTTGCTTCATTGTTATACTCCACAAATGACAGAAATCATTTGGTACTTGTCTTTCTCTGCCTGGCTTATTTCACTGAGCATAATGTCCTCCAGCTCCATCCGTGTTGTTGCAAATGGTAGGATTTGTTTCTTTCTTATGGCTGAATAGTATTCCATTGTATATATGTACCACATCTTCTTTGTTTCATTCATCTACTAATGGACACTTAGGTTGCTTCCATATCTTGGCTATTGTAAATAGTGCTGCAGTAAACATAGATGTGCATATGTGTTTTTGAATCTGAGAAATTATATTCTTTGGGTAAATTCCTAGGAGTGGAATTCCTGGGTCAAATGGTATTTCTATTTTTAGTTTTTTGAGGAACCTCCATATTGCTTTCCACAGTGGTTGAATGAGCTTGCATTCCCACCAGCAGTGTAGGAGGGTTCCCCTTTCTCCACATCCTCGCCAGCATTTGTTGTTCTTAGTCTTTTCTATGCTGGCCATCCTTACTGGTGTGAGGTGATATCTCATTGTGGTTTTAATTTGCATTCCCCTGATGATTAGTCATGTGGAGCATCTTCTTATGTGTCTGTTGGCCATCTGAATTTCTTCTTTGGAGAAGTATCTGTTCATATCCTCTACCCATTTTTTAATCAGGTTATTTGCTTTTTGGGTGTTGAGGCGTGTAAATTCTTTATATATTTTGGATGTTAACCCCTTGCTGGATATGTCATTTTCAAATATGTTCTCCCATAATGTAGGATGCCTTTTTGTTCTGTTGATGGTGTCCTTTGCTGTACAAAAGCTTTTTAGTTTGATGTAGTCCCATGTGTTCATTTATGCTTTTGTTTCCCTTGCCTGAGGAGATGCATTCAGAAAATAGTTGCTCATATTTATATTCAGGAGATTTTTGCCTATCTTATCTTCTAAGAGTTTTATGGTTTCATGACTTAAATTCAGGTCTTCGATCCATTTCAAGTTTACTTTTGTGTGGGGGGTTAAACAATAATCCAGTTTCATTCTCTTGCATGTAGCTGTCCAGTTTTGCCAACACCAGTTGTTGAAGAGGCTGACATTTCCCCATTGTACATCCATGGCTCCTTTATCGTATATTAATTCTATATGAATTTTAGAACTATTTTTTCTAGTTTGTTGAAGAATGCTGTTGGTATTTTGATAGGGATTGTACTGAGTCTGTAGATTACCTTAGGCAGGATGGTCATTTTGACAATATTAATTCTTCCTATTCATGAGCACAGGATGTGTTTCCATTTATTGGTGTCTTCTTTTATTTCTCTCATGAGTGTCTTGTCGTTTTCAGGGTATAGGTCTTTCACTTCCTTGGTTAGGTTTATTCTTAGGTATTTTATTCTTTCTGATGCAATTGTGAATGGAATTGTTTTCCTGATTTCTCTTTCTGCTAGTTCATCATTAATTAGTGTATAGGAATGCAACAGATTTCTGTGTATTAATTTTGTATCCTGCAACTTTACTGAATTGAGATATTAGATCTAGTAGTTAGGGTTTTTTATGTACAATATCATGTCGTCTGCAAACAGTGACATTATCTTCTTCCTTACCAATCTGGATGCCTTTTATTTCTTTGTGTTGTCTGATTGCCGTGGCTAGGACCTCCAGAACTATGTTGAAGAAAAGTGGGGAGAGTGAGCATCCTTGTCTTGTTCCTGATCTTAAAGGAAAAGGTTTCAGCTTCTTGCTGTTAAGTATGATGTTGGCTGTGGGTTTGTCATATATGGCCTTTATTATGTTCAGGTACTTGCCATCTGTATCCATTTTGTTGAGAGTTCTTATCATGAATGAATGTTGAATTTTGCTGAATTGATTTTTCAGCATCTATGGAGATAATCATGTGGTTTTTGTCCTTTTTGTTAATGTGGTGGATGGTGTTGATGGATTTTCGAGTATTGTACCATCCTTGTATCCCTGGAATGAATCCCACTTGATCGTGATGAATGATCTTTTTGATGTATTTTTGAATTCGGTTTGCTAATATTTTGTGGAGTATTTTTCATCTATGTTCATTAGGGATATTGGTCTTTAGATTTCTTTTTTTGTGGTGTCTTTGTCTAGTTTTGGTATTAGAGTGATGCTGGCCTCGTAGAATGAGTTTGGGAGTGTTCCCTCCTCTTCTCCTTTTTGGAAAACTAAGTAGAATGGGTATTAGGTCTTCACTAAGTGTTTGATAAAATTCAGCGGTGAAGCCATCTGGTACAGGTATTTTGCACTTAGGTAGTGTTTTGATTATCAGTTCAATTTTGTCACTAGCATTTGGTCTGTTCAGATTTTCTGTTTCTTCCTTGGTCAGTCTTGGAAGGTTGTATTTTTCTAGAAAGTTGTCCAGTTCTTCTAGGTTATCCAGTTTGTTAGCATATAATTTTTCATAATATTTTCTAATAATTCCTTGTATTTCTGTGGTGTCTATAGTGATTTTTCCTTTCTCATTTTTGATTCTGTTTATGTGTATAGACTCCCTTTTTTTCTTGATAAGTCGGGCAAGGGGTTTATCTGTTTTATGTATTTTCTCGAAGAACCAGCTCCTGTTTTCATTGATTCTTTCTATTGCTTTATTTTTCTCAATTTTATTTATTTCTTCTCTTATCTTCATTATGTCCCTCCTTCTACTGACTTCGGGCCTTATTTGTTCTTCTTTTTCTAGTTTTGTTAATTGTGAGTGTAGACTGTTCATATTGGATTGTTCTTCTTTCCTGAGGTAGGCCTCTATTGCAATATACTTCCCTCTTAGCATGGCCTTCACTGCATCCCGCAGATTTTGCAATGTTGAATTATTATTGTCATTTGTCTCCATATATGAGTTGATCTCTGTTTTTATTTGATCATTGATCCATTGGTTATTTAGGAGCATGTTGTAAAGCCTTTATGTGTTTGTGGGTTTTGTTTTCTTTGCGAAATTTATTTCTAGTTTCATACCTTTGTGGTCTGAGAAACTGGTTGGTACAATTTCAATCTTACTGAATTTACCAAGGCCCTTTTTGTGGCCTATTATATGATCTATTCTTGAAAATGTCCTATGTGCACTTGAGAGGAATGTGTATCCTGCTGCTTTTGGCTGTAGAGTTTTGTAGATGTCTGTTAGGTCCATCTGTTCTAATATGTTGTTCAATGCCTCTGTCTCCTTACTTATTTTCTGTCTGGTTGATCTGTCCTTCAGAGTGAGTGGAATGTCTCCTAGAATGAATGCATTGCATTCTGTTTCCCCTTTTAATTCTGTTAGTATTTGTTTCACATATGTAGGTCTGTGTTGGATGCATAGATATTTATAATGGTTATATCCTCTTGTTGGATTGACCCCCTTATCATTATGTAATGTCCTTCTTTGTCTCTTGTGACTTTCTTTGTTTTAATGTCTATTTTGTCTGATACAAGTACTGCAACACCTGCTTTTTTCTCCCCATTATTTGTATGAAATATCTTTTTCCATCCCTTCACTTTTAGTCTATGTATGTCTTTGGGTTTGAAGTCTCTTGTAGGCAGCATATAGTTGGGTCTTGTTTTTTTTCCATTCAGTGACTCTTTGTATTTTGATTGGTGCATTCAGACCATTTACCTTTAGGGTGATTATCGATAGGTATGTACTTATTGCCATTGCAGGGTTTAGCTTTGTGGTTACCAAAGATTCAAGTTTAACTTCCCTGCTATCTAAGAGTCTAACTTAACTCACTTAGTATGCTATTACAAACACAATCTAAAGGTTCTTTTTTTTTTCCCCTCCTTTTCTTATTCCTCCATTCTTTATATATTAGGTATCATATTCTGTACTCTTTGTCTATCCCTTTTTATTACCTCTGGTGACAGCTATTTAACCTTAGGAATACTTCCATCTATAGCAGTCCCTCCAAAATACACTGTAGAGATGTTTGTGGGATGTAAATTCTCTCAGCTTTTGCTTATCTGGAAATTATTTAATCCCTCCTTCAAATTTAAATGATAATCTTGCCAGATAAAGTATTCTTGGTTCAAGGCCCTTCTGCTTCATTGCATTAAATATATCATGCTGCTCCCTTCTGGTCTATAAGGTTTCTGCTGAGAAGTCTGTTGATAGCCTGATGGGTTTTCCTTTGTATGTGATCTTATTTCTTTCTGGTTGCTTTTAATAGTCTGTCCTTATCCTAGGGCAATTTTTCCAGATTTGAAATTGAAATGTCAATCGTGTAGGTTTCCTGTAGTCCTAACTTAATGTCTGTGTAGCCAGTTTTAAGGGATTTTGTTTCTTTTTTGGTTGTTTTAGGTATAGAACAGGAGTGTTCTACAGGGAATTTCCAATAGTTAATTCTGTTGCTTTTCTCATTAAAATAATGCCAGCATTTTTCTGCCAAATATTCCATCTCCCCATTCTAACTTTCACTGGGCTTCTAAGGGTGAGTCCTAACCTGTGTGTGAGGAGCAGTGGGAGAGCCTTGTCAGCCTTCACATCAGGGGCCCAGGGACTGTGATTCGGTGTGCCTGCTGGAGTGTGTTTCATGCTGACAGAGTAATGGAAGGGATTTTAGGGAGATCGGATTTACACATGCTGCTGTTTCGTTTATTAAGGGGGAAATATCTTTATCTAGAACTGTTGTACTAGACTTTAATCTTAAAGCTCAGCAGTCAGAACTTACTGAAAGACCAGTGGATATTCCCCTTATTATCATTTGTTTTCTTTTCTTAGAGTTTGTTTCTCTCCTTTTATTCTTCTCGTAAACTTGACATCTCCTTCCAACTTGGCACAGGGTGACTAAGGAAGTGGATGCCGCATCTAAAGAAGCCAAATCTTTCTTCAAGCAAAATGAGAAAGAAAAACCGCAGACTCCCGTGCAGCCCGCCCTGCCGTCTCTTGCTGCGGGCTCTGGGTGAGTGTCCCGCCTCAGGCCCGGTGTCCGGGCACGCTGGAGAAGCTCTTCCCAGCACAGGCACCTGCTTTAGCTGTAGCTCTCTTGACTCCCTTCCTGAGAGAAGGAGTTACGCTGCTGCTCTGCTTTTGATGAAATATGTGCCAAAGTGGAAATGCAAAGGAAAATTAGCTGTCGTTTTCTTGTTTGATTCCAGCCTAAAATCCTCTAATTTACAGCGTTGACCACACAACAGTGGTTCATTAGAACTTCTAATGAAAACTTAGGTTGAGTACTCACTTCCATCCCTCTAGGCCCTCAAAGGGACCTAAAAAGGTCGAAGCCGATTTATAAATAATTTTATTAACACATTGTCAGGAACTTAATAGTTTCTTTTGAAACTTCATATTTTCCATATTGCCTATTTTTAGCTGAAGACTAGAATTCTTAGGAGGAAATAACAATTCCTTTCCTCTTAACTATGTGTAAGCTGTAAAGCATTACAATGAATACGAGAAGCCAGGGCACTAGCCTGCAGGGAGGTGGACATGGACCACATCCCTAGGTAGTACTGATCGCCCACAGACTCCTGTGCGGAGTTCTGTGCCCTTGAGGTGTTCGGGGTGGAGCTGCTCTGACCTTCGGCCAGTGTGTTGCTTCTTCTCTCCCTGGACATACCTACCTTGTTGCTATGAATAGTAAAGTTTTGTTTTGTTATTTTTACTTTAAAAAACAGAAATCACTGGTTTTCCTATCAGATTATGTACTTTTCTAGAAAAGCCTTCCTCATCATTGTACCTTTGGCTCCAAACAACTTGGTGTGCTCACCTAGGTTGCATTTGCCCAGAAGCAGACCCTGGGACAAAGGTCTGATGGCATGTCATTAGTGTGGAGGTGATTCCAGGAAGCCCCAGTAAGGAGGTAAAGGGGTGGGAAGGAAGGCAGCGCAGAGAGCATTATCCAGTGTGTTCCTGCTGCTCGCTGCTGGTGCGCACTCAGTCCTGCTGGGACTCGTGGGATTGGTGAAGAGCACGACGGGCAAGGAGCTGGGACGGCCATCCTCTAGCTGCCGCCTCTCGGCTCAGAGCTGCTTCCACCCACCTGCGGGCCTTAGCCTGGGACCTGCAGGTGCCTGAGGAAGATGCTGCCCTCGGGCTGTGCTGTGGCGGTCACTGCAAGGACACGTCCACATCCGCTCCATGCTCCTCATCTGCTTCCTGCTCCAAGGGGTTCTCTCCCCCCAGAACAACCAGGTGGCAAAAGTCACATAGTTCCACAGAAACCCGAGGAGGAAAGGGACTCGAGTGCTCACTGGCACAGTGGAAATGGCAGAAGCACTGAGGAAGGCAGCTGTGCAGGGAAATGAGTAGCCCAAACAACAGAGTTTTCCACACTGGCTCTGCTGCCACTCTTGGCCAGTGCTTTCCAAGCTGTGGTTATAATCATCATTAAAGATAAATGAAATAGAATAAAACATATAGTATCTCATGTAGTCAGAGTAAAATACTGTTTTGTAAAATCAACCTTTCAGTTACTGATGTGCTTGTACTGAGTGATAAAATGAACTATTTTTAGTGGGGGTTGAAGTTTAAAACTATGAGGCTCTAGGCTGAAGCAGCATGTTCTTAGCCTTATGACCATTATGTTGTTTCAGAGGGATTCTCTTCACACCAGCAGCTTTCAGACTTTATTGACTGTCACTTACAGTAAGGAAATGCATTTTACAGTATGCCCATAAATATAAGTATGTAAAAAAAGTGAAATAAAAATTCAGTGAAGTAGCATTTACCTCTACTACACATAGGATTAACTCTGATTTTCTGATTTGCATTACTGTGTGTAGTATATGTCATGTAAGAAAATGTTATGACCCACTGAATTGATACAACCTTGAATTTGACAAATACACTTCTAGGCTATATAGAGTTAGGCTCCTGTAGGCTTTACTTGAGATTCTAGGCTGTATCTTTTACTATTAAGCAGTGTCTCTTGCATTTATTTAAAGTGTTACTGTGCAAGTTACCTCTGGATTAAGTAATGGATAGAAATAAAAACAAAGGTTCTTTTGCCTTAGGTTTCTAGCATAGTTTCAACTAACGTAATTTTTTTAAATTGAAATACCATTGATATACAATCTTACATTGGTTTCAAATGTACAACATAGTGGTTCAACAGTTACCCATATTAATAAATCCTCACCCCCCTCTAGTGCAGTTAAGAAAAATGTTACAGAATCATTGACGATATTCTCTAACAACTGGCGTAATTTTTACTTTTAGCCTCCTTGGGTGTTCCTTAAAATAATCCCTGTTGATGCTTAGAGACTCTACTTAGAAACTATTGTGTTTCTGTTACTGTAATTAAGAAGATAACTAGAGGAAGGAGAAGTGGCAGCTTAACAAGGTCAGCTTGTTTAAGTCACTGTGTCACTCATATGGAATCTCACTGCATTCTTTATCCAGGCCTTCCTTTCTTAGAAAGAGCTAATAGCCTTTCAAGGATAAGAAATCTGCTGAGATGTTATCTGTATTAGGGAGATCCAGCAGGAAACAGGTGGTATCCTCCAGTTGGGATGCTCTGAGATGAGTTTAATAACACACAAAGTGATGAAAAACCACAGGAACAGGAGCAGCGCAGTGAACCAGGTACTGGTACTGATGAGGCTCCATTCCTACGCCAGACCTGAAGGGGCAACATAGGTTGCAGTTCCTGGCATTGAAGGCAGAGAGGGCCCCCTAACAGGAGCTGAGACATTCACTTAATGATGGACCCTGGGGGGGGGAACCAGGGAATAAATACCCCGACCAGACCTCCCATTCCCCTCTCCATCCCATCTCTTGCCAGGGCACTCCATTGACCACTGCAGCTTGTGAGAGAAAAAATTATTTGGACACCTGTTAAGATGGTAAGGAAAACTTAGTATTATTGGAATAGGTATTAAGGCTGTCACAATAGGGGAGGGAGATCTGTCTCTACTCTTGTATTCAAAGACAGCTGGGGACTTCCAGCCAAGGAGCAGAATGAGAAGAATGGGGAGGGGATCTGCAGAGAGAACATGGCTAAAAGGAAACATCGAAAGTGGGGGGATTCTCGCTGAAGGCAGGATTATGCATCAAATTGGGAGACAAGGAACTTAATCAGATACAAAAAGTGATCAGATAACAAGAGTAGGGGATTCTCTTTAAACTGAGTTAGCAGGATTCTTGCTAAAACTGGGCTAGGCAAGGACTGGGAGCAAAATTGAGGCCTAGTCAAGAAAAGGGCTCTAAGGAATCTGACTATGGTTTGATGAATAAGAGAGTCTTTGTCAGGCTGTCCATACAGGACAGCACCTGGTGGAGAGAGCAGCATGGAGGAGGACGTGGAATCCGGAGGGGCCAACTGGTGAAATACCTTTCAGTATATTAATGAACTACTGGCTTCCTTATAAAGGGGTAAAGTGAAATTTGATCAAAATCAGTTTATTTGAAAGCTGTATTGGAATTTAACAGATTACAAATATATGTCTGCCTGAATAAAAGCTTCCTCAGTATTGTACACAAAAATACGGATGCATTTAATTATGATACAGTGTATCTTGAATTTCTGATCCATAAGATAACCTTCAAGGTTGGCATGATTATTTTCCTGAAGTGCATCTCAAAAAGCCTCTACAGTTGTAATTGTGCTTGGGAAAAGGAATTCAGCTGATCTGGGGGTGTCTTAAGTGGGCACATTTTATCGTTGCAAACAGTATCTGCCTCAGGCTACACGTGCATGATACGGGGTCTTTTAAAGGAAAAAAAGATTTTCCTATAGGAATAACCCAGTTTAGTAAAAAATAATGTAATATTTTTTCCACAGACTTTTTTTGTTTTCATTTTTGCAGTTCTTTCAGTTTATAGAAATTGTCCAGCAGAAACACTTTATTTGTTTATTTTTCTTCTCTCTAAACAGATTTCAGCAATACAGGAAAACCAGAGCAAGAGAGTAAAACATCCTGTCCCACATCCTTTGCTAGGAAATAAGAACAGATTCACAGGAGCAAATGTTTGTAACTGAAATGCATTTCCTCCACATGTTTAAAATAGCACACTGCTTAGGCTATAAAAAGCCAAAGTTTATGCTTTGGGAATAAACCAAACACTCAATTTTAATTAGAGGCAAGCAGGAGTCAGAGACAAGAAGTGCTTTCTACATTGGTAGTAGAAAGCACAATGCTCATCTTAGTGTCTAAATTCCTGTAGTTCTGTTACCCCAGGCCCTCCATCTTCTTCTCAGCCCCTGACTCCATCCTGACTACCAATACTGTTGACCAGTTGAATCCATCTGCTACCAGCTTTTGTGGGTATTTGGCTGGACAGCCTTCAGCCCCACATTTACCGCTTGCTTCCAGCCCAAGACTGATTACTTCCCTTTTTCCAGCAGTGGGCTTACTAGTGGGATATTAGTCTTATTAGAGTTTAAAATCCCAGCTGTGGGCATTAACTTGTTAATTAAAGACTTACTGTTAATTGCCTCCTTTCAGATTGAGAATGTTCTAACACGGTAAAACGTAAGGGTGGAAAACATAATTTTCCTGTGTAGTTTTGTCTTTTCTTCTTGGTCAGTTGAGCAAACAAAAACGAAAAACAACAACAAAAAAGGGGCCTTAGTGAGTCTCAGATAGCATCACGGGCCGTGTCAGGCTGGTGGTGTTTGCCCAAAGATAGAAAAGACAACTCCTCAGAGTGTCATGCTGGAGACAGAAGACCCAGACTGAAGACATGAGGAGACAGTAATGCGTGACTCTTGTGGTTTGTCAGTATTTGGCATATGACCCCCAAGTATTTGTCCCCATGTAAGTTCCCAGGAACCTTTAATTTGTGCCCGCAAGTCTTCCTGTCTGAACAGTTAATCTGATCTTCTCCAGTCCCCTTACAGTGAGTTAACATGACTTTGTTGTCTTTTAAGCTTAAAATTTTTTCAGTATATAGTCTTTTGATAGCATTGAGCATTTCACTTAAAGTAACAAAAATCAGACATAGCGACAGTATTAGGTA